TCGGCAAACAAAGATAATTTCAGTTCTGCTTTCCCTATTGGAAGGCCTTTTATTTTCTTCTTTTGTCTGATCGCATTGGCTAGGGCCTTGTTGTTTTTTAATGGCTGAATATTATAAGCAGATTCAATCATGTAGAAGGCTCAGATCTAGAATCTAGAATCTCAGAACATAATGGCATTCCAGTACTATATTGAATAGGACTGGTACTTACCTTCTACCAGTTTTTAGTGGGAAAGTTTTTGGCTTTCCCCCCATTCAATATAATGTTCACTATAGTTTTTTTTTTTTTTTGAGAGATTTTCGCTATAGGGCGCGTGCGCTCGCCAGACAGACAAAGAGAGACATAGAGACAGAAAGCGAGAAATCACCCCCCAGAGGGGATGGTCACGCCGCAATCCCTTCTCCTCCATTCTCCTCTCGGGAACTTGGGCATGCACGCACACGCACCCGGTGTGAGTTTTAAGCCACCGGGTCCGGGACGTGAACCGCGGTCGACTACGTGGGAGTCCAGCGACATAGCTATTACGCTAACTGCTGCTTCCCTTCACTATAGGTTTTTCATAGATGAGTTTTACTATGCTGAGAAATGATCCTTCTATGCCAATTTTCCTGAGAGTCTTTTTTTTTGAGAGGTTTTTGCCATAGGGCACATGCGCTCGCCAGATAGACAGAGAGAGAGAGAGAGAGACAGAAAGCGAGAAATCACCTCCCAGGGGGGATGGCCACACCACAGTCCCTTCTCCTCCACTCTCCTCTCTGGATCTTGGGCATGCATGCACACGCACCCGGTGTGAGTTTTAAGTCACTGGGTCCAGGACTCGAACCGTGGTTGACTACGTGGGAGTCCAGCAACATAGCCATTCCGCTAACTGCTGGTCCCTCCTGAGAGCCTTAATCGTAAAGGAATGTTGTATTTCGTCAAATGCTTTTTCCACATTGAATGAAATGATCATATGGTCTTTTTCTTTCTTTCTGTTAAAATGGTGTATTGCATTTATGGTTTTGTGTATGTCAAAACACCCTTGCATCCCTGGAATAAAGCCTACCTGGTCATGGTGAATAACCTTTTTTATATGCTTTTGAATATGGTTAGCAAGTATCTTGTTTAGAATTTTTGCATGTATATTCATCAGAGATATAGATCTGTAGTTTTCCTTTTTTGTTGTATCTTTATCCATTTTGGGAATGAGGATAATGGAGGTTTCATAGAATGAAAAAGGATTCCTTCCTTTTTTATCTCTAGAAACAGTGTGAGTAAAATGGGGGTTATCTCTTCTTTATAATTTTTGTAAAATTCAGCAGTGAAGTCATCAGGACCTGGACTTTTCTTTGTTGGGAGGTTATTTATTACTGATTCAATTTCCTGGATTGTTATGAGCCTGCTTAGGCTTTCTATGTCCTGAGTTGATCTTGGTAGATTCTATGTGTCCAGGAATTAGTCCATCTCATCCAAGTTTTCTTCTTTTTTGGCATATAGTCACTTATAGTATCCTTTAATGATGTTTTATATTTCTATTATGTCTGTTGTAATTTTGCCTGAGTTGTTGCAAATTTTATGCATCTTGTTCCTTTATCTCTTCATCTTAGTTAGTCTAGCTAATGGTGTGTCAATCTTGTTTATCTTTTCAAAGAACCAGCTTTTGCTCTCATTTATTTTCTGTATAGTTTGCTTATTTTCTATTCCATTTTTTTTGCTTGAATCATTATTATTTCTTTTCTCCTGACACTTTTTGGATTTTTCTGTTGTTGTTTCTCCAGTTCTCTGAGGCATGATGTTAGGTTGTCCTTTCACCACCTTTCATATTTTTCTTGTGCACATTAATTGCTATGAACTTCCCTCTTATGTCTGCTTTTGCAGTATCCTGTAAATTATGGAAACTCATGTACTCATTATCATTTGTTTCCATGCATCTTTTTATTTCAGTCTTAATCTCTTCAGTAGTCCTTAAGTCATTTAGTTTTCATGTATTTGTGTATTTTCAAGGGCTTTTCCAGAGATTAATATGAAGTTTAATTTGATCATGGTTGGAGAAGATGCTGGATATAGTTTCTATGCCTTTGAATCTTTAAAGGCTGATTTTGTGCCCTATCCTGTGGTCAGTCTTTGAGAAGGCACCATGCAGGGCTGAGAAAAGTGTATATATACATAATGTTTGTCTAGTTCATATGGTATATGGTATCTTTTAAGTCCTGAATCTCTTTGCTTATATTTAATCTCATTGAACTGTATAAAGGAGATAATGGGGTGTTGAGATCTCCAAGAATTATTATGTTACAGTCTATCTCTCCTTTTAGATAATCTTGCTGGGTATCGTATTCTTGGTTGAAATTGCTTTTCACTTAACACTTTGAATATATTTCCCTATTCTTTCCTTGCTTGCATTGTATCTGATGAAAGGTCAATTGTCAGCCTGATGGGATAGCCTTTGTAAGTGGTTTGCCGTTTCTCTCCTGCCAATCTTAGTATCTTGTCTTTGTCTGTGGTTTTGGCCAATCTAGCTATGATGTGCCATGAAGAGGATCTTCTTGGATTGATTCTACTTGGGGTTCTTTGTATTTCTTGGGTCTGGATATTTGGATACTTCTGTAGGTTTGGAAAGTTTTCTTCCAGGATTTCATGGAATAGATTATCAATCACCTTATTAGTTTCTTCACGTTCTGGGATACTGATTATCCAGATGTTTGGATGTTTAATAGCATCTAGTATTTCTTGTATACTATTCTCATTTTTTTTTTTATTATTTTTTCTAGGTCAGAATTTTTTTTTTTCCTATTCCAGAAATTTGATCTTCTGCATGGTCTAGCCTGCTTTTAATATTTTTGAGGGAGGTTTTGATTTCCTGTATTACAGCCTTCATATCTAACAGTTCTGTTTGATTCTTTTTTTATGGCTTACAAATCTTTCATAGCATGGAAGGACTTCCTCATCTCTTGGTTCACAAAATCTCTTTTCTCTTGCATATCATAGAGTTTTGTTACCATAATATTCTAAATTCTTTTTCTGACATTTTGTTAACATCCTCTAAATTTTCTCTACATGGAGATGAAGTATTTCCTTGCTGGAGATGTATTACTTGATTCTCTCATCCTTGAAGCTCTTCTCTGATTTTTAGTCATTTAATAATGTATTTGCTTTTGGTTAATTTGTTGGAGAAGGATTCTATAATTTTGAGCTTGTGTATTTCCCTTCCTGTGAAATAGTTTTGTGCTATTTTCTCCCTTCTACTGTGTCCTCCAGTGTGAGGATCACAGGATAAGTTTTGCAATCAGTTTTATGAAGGAGAATTTCACTCTTTTTACAACCAGTACAGTGAGGAGCAACGCATTCTCTAAATCTCACAATATTCAGAATTTCAGCTACTGGGATTTTGGGCCCACATGTGCCCACCATGATTTTCCAGCCACTGGTCTGGGATTTGAAAATTGTGGTCATTCATATGAGATCCAGCACCCTAACTTGCATGCCACCTGCTAGCCTTTGAGACAACTATTTTAATTCACTCATTCTACCTTTACCAAGATTTATTGGATGAATTATATGACTAGGATAGTCAAGATACAGTCATGTGTTAAGATAGCTCCTGCTCTCAGAGGCTTGCAAATCTATTATGAGTAATTAAACACAACAGTCAAATAAAAATTAACATGCAAATAGTGATTAATAGTGTTTAGGGCATGAATAATTATAATTCATACTCTGTAACAAAGGCAGGAGAGATATTATTACTCCTAGTATGTAGATATGAAAGAAGAGACTCAGACTTTCCCAACTTTACTCTGGAAGTCAGTAGTATAGGTGGGGCATGAATCCAATCTTTCTTTTTTAACATTTTTTTGTTATTATCATAATCTTGTTTATATTACATTGAATCACACATAACTTTACAGTGTATTACATTTCTTTTTCCAGAAGGCATACCATTCATATTAGTCAATACAGAGACATTAAAATCCCCATCATCATTATCCAATAGCTTTTCATTTTTTTCCAGATTATTATTAGTATTATTATTCCAATTTTTTAAAAACATTCAATCACTATTTATCATTTTGCTTGTAAAAAGTGAATCCAATATTTCTGTGCTTCCTCTCTGTCAGAAGGAGCAGAAATGCATTGAAAGTGTGGTTTATAAGATATTTCATCTGACTGTACAAAGTTTCTGAGAAAAGGAATTTCAGGCTGGAAAGATCAAAGGTAGCTCCTTATAGTTTGATGACAGGAGAGCTAGATTTTTTAAGTACATTGTAAGTGATGATTACAGTATCCTATGTATGATCTCACATTGGTTGTGAGGATATTCTCTTGCTAAAGAGTTTATGTAGGGCAGCCTTCATGTCCCGGTTTCTCAGACTATAGATGAAAGGATTTAACATTGGGGTCACTGCCATATACATCACAGTTATCACTGCATCCTTCAGGCTGTAACTGGTCAGAGGACGGAAATACATACCCATGACTGTCCCATAATACAGAAGAACAACTGTGAGGTGGGAGCCACAAGTGGAGAAGGCTTTGAGCACACCCTTGGTGGATGGAACTCGAAAGACCGTAGAAAAGACATGAATATATGAGATAATGATGCATAGTAATGGCACAGAGAAAACAGCAACCCCTAGGTACATCATCTTCACATTAAAGTGGATGTCAGAACAGGACAGCTTTAGTAAAGAGGTAATGTCACAGTAGAAATTGGCTACTTCCTTGTTGCCACAGAAGGACAGACTAGCAGTGAGCAGAGTGTGAAGGAGGGAATTGGCATGTCCAACCACCCAAGACCCACCAACTAGCAGGACACAAGATCGCAGACTCATAATCATCATGTAATGAAGTGGGTGGCTGATGGCCACAGCCCGGTCATATGCCATCACAGCCAAAATATAGCTGTCTGTGTTAGCCATGGCAATCATAAAATACATCTGGGTGAGGCATCCCCCAAAAGAGATCACTTTGCTGCCCAAGAGGTGACTGGTTAGCATTTTTGGGATGGTTACAGATGAGAAGACGATGTCAACAAAGGAGAGGTTGGCAAGGAAAAAGTACATGGGGTTGTGAAGGCGATTGTCAGAGCGAATGGCTAAGATGATGAGCAGGTTTCCACTTAATGTGATGGGATAGATGAACAGGAAGAGGATGAAGAAGAAATCTTCTTTTTTCTGACTACTAAATCCCAGGAGGATGAATTCCAGGGCAGAGGATTGATTTTCCTTCCTCATGGCTTCTTTATTGTAACAGGGGAGCGGAGTCCAGAATTATTAATGAGATTACTCTGTGTTATAATCTTCCATATCTGACAATTTTGACTCAAGTAATCAGTTATCCCTATACCTGAGTTTAATAAGTCCAGATAACACAGTACTTTGGGAAAGAATCTTTATTGATCAATGAAACTAATTGTTTTTTTACCCCTAAATATTCATATTCAAGAAGTGAGAAATTTGTACATCAACCCCCACATATATATCTAGCATTTAATCATTTAACAAATAATTACATTTCTTGTTTCATATACTAGACACTCTATTAAGCCTTGTGAAAAAAAATCATAAGTATGTGAAAAATAGTTTATTCATTCACTTACTTAATGAAAAGACAGTTTCAGCTCTTGAGGACATTATAACTTAAAGGAGACACGAGAATTACAAACTAATTTTATGACACACAATAAGAAATAGGCAGAATTTTAGTCTTTCAAAAAATATTCCACTGTGTGCGTGCGCACACACACGTATCAGTTTTAGAGTGCCCTGGGCAAGAAGAAATTATTTGTTTAGTGGACCCATTGAAAAAACTCAGAGCCCAGGTCCTAGGAGGTAAGCAGGTGTTATACTCATGTCAGAAGCTTATGAATCACTAGAATACTGAGGTTAGATCCTAGCAAAACAAACTCAGAAATTTCCTTCCCAGATGTCTCATTTTCAAAGTAGATTTTCACTGTTTTATTGATAGATTTTATTTCTTTTAAAACCTTAAAGTATTTAATTGAGGGACCAGCAGTTAGCGTAATGGCTATGTTGCTGGACTCCCATGCAGTCGACCACGGTTTGAGTCCCGGACCCGGTGGCTTAAACTCACACCGGGCGCATGTGCGTGCATGCCCAAGATCCCGAGAGGAGAATGGAGGAGAAGGGATTGCAGTGTGGCCATTCCCCCTGAGGGGTGATTTCTTGCTTTCTGTCTCTCTGTCTCTGTCTGTCTGGTGAGCACATGCGCCCTACAGCAAAAACCTCTCAAAAAAAAAAAAGTATTTAATTGAATCTGCTTTTTTCTCTTCCTTTTTAAAATTATTTATTTTGAGGGCCAGCAGGTCGGCATGGTGGTTAAGGTGCTGGACTTCCACATAGTTGACTGCAGTTTGCATCTCAGACCTGGTGACTAGCTTTCTCACTTTCCATCTCTCTCTCTCTTTGGTCAAATAATAATAATAATAAACAACTAAATAATTATTTTTAAAGTTATTTATTTTGATTACTGATCCTACTCCTAGTGGATCATCTCCTACTTTGTAGATTATATATCTGTGGGCTTGATCTCTCTCACTTTCTATTCTAAAGCTTATTTATATATATTTTTAATGAGTGAAAGGGACAGAAAGAGAAAGAGCACACTTAACAGAGTCTTGATGCCATAAGCCACCCAAGGCTTTAGCTAGCTCCAGATTATTGGCATACACATGCCTGATGTACTCAGGAAGGTCTCCTGAAGGAAATTGAACCTTCCCATGTGAGTTAGCCTCACAGAATGTATCATTTTACTGTGGCACCAACTGCCCTGTAATTCACTAATTTTAAAAAGTGACCTACAGTCAACAATTAACTAAATTTATAATTAATTTAATTGCTGGTTGAGTAAATTATAGGATACAGGTGGATTATATGCTAGGCATTGAGATGCATGATTAATTATTTTCCCCAAAATATACTGTGCTTTCTCATCTCTGTACCAAAATGACTTTGATTTTCTTTCCTGAAACACCTTTTCCCATCTTTGCACAAAATCAGAGTTCACGGAAGCTGGAGGGTTCAGGCACAATGGTTAGCTCATTTGGTAAGGAAGTGTAAGAGATCAAAGCAATGCTATTGGCAACATGGCAGACTAAGCTGGTATCGAAAGGCGTTATTCCTATTTAAACATATTGAAATTCTAAATAAATGATTAAAATAAGACAAAAAAAAAAAAAAAGACAAGAAAAAAATGTATTCAAACCTACAGGAAATAAATGGGAATAGAGAGACAGAAGAAACAAATAGAAAACTCACAGCAAGAATTATAAATCAGAGTTGAAGCTATGGTGGCCCATTTTGGTTTCAGGCAGGAATTAAGAACCAAAATCTGGGGCTTAGGGTGTTAATGCCTCGTTGATACCGGCGATTGACCACAGATCTCTTTGAAGCAGGGAGCTTAATTCAAGCCCTCTGCATAAAACACTTGAATTATTGTCCTGTTTATGAAAAGATTACAAGATAATTTTTCCCTTATAAGAATCAGAAAATCAGTAACAGATGGATACAGTTCACAGAAAGTATTGTTATAGTAAAGTAAGATTGTCTGCAGAAAAAAATCTGAGGGAATCTCTAGATTGATTAAGAAAAAATAGTAAGTTGGTTAGGTATAAATATTTTTTTTTAATGAATGCTGTCTATACACTTAAGTAAAAATAAATTACTAAGTATAATTTTTAAAAAAGACTCCCTATTTTCGGGACCAGCAGTTAGCATAATGGCTATGTCGCTGAACTCCCATGTAGTCGACTGTGGTTCAAGTCCCAGACCCAGTGGCTTAAACTCACGCTGGGCCTGTGTGCATGCATGCCCAAGACCCTGAGAGGAGAATGGAGGAGAAGGGATTGCGGTGTGGCCATCCCCCCTGGGGGGTGGTTTCTTGCTTTCTGTCTCTCTGTCTCTCTCTCTCTTTCTTGTGAGTGCACGTGACCTATAGCAAAAACCTCTCCAAATAAATGAAAGACTCCCTATTTTCAATATTAGAGAATTTTAAGGAATTAATAAATAATTCTAACAAATGAGATCAAAGATTCAATTCAAACATTTATAAAATGTTACTGAACTACAAAAAGAATACCTAAAAGAAGGGAAGATAAGCAACATTAGTAAAGACTCAATCAGGGCCAGCAGGTAGTATGGTGGTTAAGGCACTGGACTTCCACAAGGCTGACTATTGTTCAGTTCCTGGTACCCAGCACCTGTGCGCACATGCCCAAAATCCCAAGAGGAGAATGGGGAAGAAATGGTTGCGGCATAGCCATCCTTCTCTGGGGAGGGGGTGTTTTCTCACTTTCCCTCTCACTGTCTTTCTCTCTGGTGAGCGCACATGCCCTATGGCAAAAACCTTTAAAAAATAGTAAAGACCCTCTCTTATAAAAATATAATTTTCTCCAATTAATCTATAAAAATTGTTGGAATATCAATCAAAGTACAACAGGCTTACTTAAAACATTAAATTTACCAAATTGATTCTAAAATTCATGTTGAAGAAAAAAGAGTCAAGAAGAAGTAAGACAATTTGAAGAAAAGAATACAGAAGGAGGAATTGCCTTATTAAGTATAAAAATGACTTGATGGATTAGAAACCGTGGAGTAGTACTTACATAAGGATGGGCTAGTAGGTCAGTGTAACAGACCAGAGAACTCAGAAACAGATTAAGCATTTATTAGTAATTGATATATAAAATGAGTTAATTTAGA